CCTGATGCGGTAGGCGGGTCGTGGGGGGTGGTGGGGGGGGGGGGGGGGGGGTAGGACTCCCTGGTGAGTCCTGGGTTCGTTTCCGTGGTTGTTCACCAAAATGGAGAGAAGCTTTCTTGATCTTCCAAAGTTCAAAAAGTCTTTCTCAGCAAAACGAAAGTCCCGATTGAGGCAACAACATGTTGTTGTTGTTGTTGTTGTTGGTTTCACCAAGAGAAGGTAAGACTCTCTACTTCTCACCAGTCTTAAGTCTGGGGAGCCCACCTGGCCTAGCCTACCACAGTCTTCTTATGATCTAGATCTGCGGTCCCCAACCTTGGCAACTTTAAGACTCGGGGACTTCAACTCCCAGGATTCCCCAGCCAACATGGCTGGCTGAGGGACTTTGGGAGTTGAAGTCCACAGGTTTTAAAGTTGCCAAGGTTGGAGGCACCTGATCGCGATAAAGAATGGCAATGAAAACGGGCCACTTTTAACAATCTCAACCCAACAGATCACGCAGATCCAGCAAAAAAACGTCCAAGAATGCAGCTGCCTTGGAAAATATGGATCCCACTGGAATAAAATCAGGATACACCCAAGTCCTCAACTTACATCAGTTCTCTTAGTGAGCGTTCAAAGTTACAATGGCACTGAAAAAAGTGACATGATCATTTTTCACACTTATGACTGTTACAGTATTTAGTCATTTAGTCATTTAGTCATTTATATGTTTGCTGATGCTTTATATAAACTTATATTTGCATATCAGTGATTGTCTGTGGAGATTCTCCATCATCCAGGTCATGTTTTCCCAAAGGTGCTTTTTCAGGAGGCAACTGGACTTGTTTTTTCTTTGAAGATGTTTCATTTCTCAATCTGAGAAGCTTCTTCTGCTCTTCCCCACCATCCAGTCAGAGCCAAAGAAGCTTCTGGGATGGGAATGAAACATCTTCAAAGAAAAAACAAGTCCAGTTGCCTCCTGAAAAAGCACCTTTGGTATATCAGCGATCGCGTGATGTCTGCAGATGCCATGTGCTAAACAAAGCAATAAAACCAGCAAAATGAGGGGTTAGCATCAGGAAGGACATTTCTAATAAATCCAAAGCGAAAGGGAAGAAAAAGCTGGTTTCGGTCTCTTATCTGTATATTTCGATAGTGAATATCTTCAAGGCCACTTCCGTTTTGGACATCGTGATCAAAGTCCGTACTGTTCTTGCTCTCTTTTCATTTTCTGTCTACACCTTAGTTGCGTTCAGACAGGACCCCTCAAAACAGGTCAGGAGTTTTGTTGCTCCAGATTCCTGGGACGAACAAAGCCCACAGCCAAAGAAAGATACGACAAGCAAAACATTCAGGATGGAATATGTAAGTGAACAGGACAGACACCTGGGATGGAGAGCAAAATCAAAAAGTATTTGGAAGGGAAACGGTGTGTGTTGGTTTATGTGTGTGTTTGTGTAAGTGTTTATGCTGGTTTGGCGGTATAAAGCAAAAAGTTTAACCTTGCAGCACCATCAAGATTCAGCAATTTTATAGAAGTCTCTCTATTGCCTTTTAACTGGAGATAGGAGGTTCTGAAGATTCTCGGTCATCCAGGCAAAGGCTCTTTTTCAAAAGACAACCGGACTTTGTGTTTCCATGAAGCTGTTTCACTTCTCAACCAAGAAGCTTCTTCAGTTCTGACTGAACGGTGGAGGATGGGAGGATTTATATTCCATGCAGTCATCTCGTTGTTAGCACTCGTTCTGATGAGCAGATGGCTGCAAGGAATATAAATATAAATCCTTCCATCCTCCACCATTCTTGGATGAGAAGGGAAACGTCTTCAGGGAAAAACAAAGTTCGGTTGTTGTTTGAAAAAGCACTTTTGGGGCAACCGTCAACCATCCTGGAGGACTGAGAATCTGTGTAGACTAATTGAGGGCAGGTTCAACAGGAGGAGGTGGACGGATATCCAGAGAAACTGATGCTATCATAACTGTTAAGGTGTCATTAGGCTATTTGTGAGGGTTTCTCAACCTTTTAACAAGACTTCCCATTCCCGTTTTAGTTAATCAACTGCCATAAATCAGAAGTTGGGAAAGCAGGAGACAAACAAGAGACCTAGCCAAATCCAATTGATATGTTTTAAGCAGCTGTGTACCATCAACATAAAATGAAGCTTGCTCAGAAGCTGAAATACACCAAGCAAATGAAATGAAGAGTGGGAAGAAAAGGAGAGAGGCGAGGGATAGGAGGGAGGGCAGGAGGGGGGAAGAGGAGGAGAGAAAGAAGGAGTGGAAGAGGAGAGAGGGGTAGGAGAGATGAAGGGGAGGTAGAGAAGGGAAGGATAACAGAGGGAAGAAAGGGGGTAGGGAGGAGGAAGAGAGAGGGAGAAGAGGGTGAAGGTGTATGGAGAGCAGAAGAGCCAATAATTGTTTTTGGGAATTGATGGTAAGATGAATTGATGTAAACATTTAGTAATACAATACGATGCTGGCTATGTAACTGTTGCAGAAAATGACAGGCTTTAGACTTCTCCGGATACAGGAAAAGTTTATTTGGCAGCCAGGTTCAGAAAGCTAGCCCATGGCTTAGCATTGCAAGTTCTGAACAACCTTCATTATCGAAACACACTTTCTTATCCATTCTCAAAAGCATGGCAACACGGAAACACTTAACACATTTCTTAGTGGTTACCTTGAGGAGAAAGCCTTATAAGGAGATGAGGTCTTACTTCTTCTTTTGTTACAGGTATGTATGACGTGTCATTAATGAACTTTAATTGAACCTTGTGGTTTGTCCTTTTGACATAGGTTTTGACATAGGGACGTTGGCTAGAACATCTTGTGGTTAACGGTTTGCTTCCTGTTCTTTTGCAAGCTCCAACTCTGTCTATGTAGCTTGTTAATATAGATTTAAAGGGGTCCCGAGAGGCTGTCCAGCCTGACCCAGTAGGTTTCACACTTAATGTCCAAATCTCACTTTATGTCCTACTTTATCATAGTGTACATGTTTTGAAATTTTTCATGTTATGAAAATGAAAAAATAAAAAACTTTATTAAAAAAAACAAGACTTCCCATTCCCAGAATTCCCCAGCCATCATGTATTAAGAATGGATGGACTTCAACTCCCAGTATGGAGGCTGGAGAATTTTTATTCATTTATTCATTACCATTTTTTCTCCTGCCTTTTAAAAATTTTGTAAGTAGCTCAAGGCAGCAAACATGCATCCGTTTTGCATGTTCTTGGTGCAAAGACATCCCATGCCTGGCCACAGACACCGAGTGAAGATGCTCTCTCATGTTCTGGTTTCTGCCAACGACAGCCCCTTGTCCCCAAACATCCAGGAAGTTGATCCCCAGCAGCTGCAGGAAGGCAGGAATCCCCCCCCCCCCAAAAGTGTGATCTCTTGACACAACTGATGTTCATTGTTGCTTTTTGTCTCTTTGGAAATGGCAAAAGGTAAAAGCAGGCGAATGTTTTGTACGTGAAATGCTTAAAGGTTTGCCAAACTTTGATTCAGATGGAAAACTCTTGGTCCCATGTCTTTTTTTGAAATAATCAGTTGAGCAGCTGGCCTCCCAGAGGTCTGGATGCTCCCTCACTGGAGGTAATTTGGCCGGGATCGTATAAGGTTTCATGCCTGAGCAGGGGGTTGGACTAGAAGAACTCCAAGGTCCCTTCCAACTCAGTTATTCTTGGGAAACTATTCTTGTGTGTGTGGCAGAGGGGGCTGATCTAATTGCTTCCTCTCCTTTCAAATTGGTCTTCCTTTCCTCACAGGTGGATCCAAAGCCTGGGGATTTGATCGAGATCTTCCGACTGGGATACGAACACTGGGCAGTCTATGTGGGTTCAGGCTACGTCATCCATCTGACTTCATCACGTAAGGAACAAACTCTGGGTTGGGTTTGCCAGATGACAAAGACTAAACTCCATCTTGATGTGGGCATTTGGGCCTCAATTCTAAAATGCGGGCAATGAGTTAGGATAGGCCTGTGTGAGAGTGAGCTTGCATTGGGAATACAAGCATTCTCACAATCCGATGGACCACTTCACGAATCTCTAATTCCTAGGCA